TCAAAAGATTAACATTTTCCCAGTACTTTTAATCCAGATTAGTAAACAAGACGATTCTGCAAAATATAACTGATCCCTACAACTCCATGATCAAAACTTAACACCATACAAATAAACTGATCCTTACAACTCAGAGTATTCATCAGCATATCAAGTTTTTGCAGACAAAACCTTTCTGTTAGAACTTCTCAGTCATCATCAGAATCAGAAATGTATCTGCTGATATCAAAGGGCTCGTTCTTCGGAGTTGGGCGGTTCATCTCAAAATCATTCCTTCCATTCATTGGTGCAAAAGCTGCACATTTCGGGTGAAAAGGCAAATAAAAGATAAAATAAAATATTAATTTAAGAAGGACTTGACATCATTTACATAAATTTCTTGCTTCTTCAATAACCCTGTGTCATCGTAAATTTATTTAAGTTGAAATTCTTCAAAATCTCCCATAACATGTCCATAACAGTTCAAAATTGGCTTAGACTTGGATATCAAGCAACAAGGATAACCGCTATATTAGACGATGATCAAAACAAGGACCCCGCCGAGTCTTTGCTCTAGTAAGTATTACATACAACCAATCAAGCAGAGCCAAGTAAACTGACCTTTCTCTCTCATTCTTCTCTCTCTGTCAAATTCAAACTTGTCTCGTATTTGGTTACCTCTGTCCCACGTATCATTTCCCCTGTTACTCCCCATAATTTGATCCTGCAGTCAAATATTTGTTTGGTCATTATATGTTGTAGAAGTTAAAAAATACCATCAAGTCCTTCCCAGTGCAGTATTTATTACGCTCATCAGATGCACTCAGAATAAAGACCAATATAAGAATTATAAAGTAGGCAACAACTTACTGAACATCTCATCGAAAAGAATACTTAGATTCCTCAACCAACACGATGAGAGAGGATGATACAAAAACAAGATATTCGAACACTAAAAATAAAAATGGAAATATATATTTACAAATAAGAAGGATTTGAGGGTTATAGTGACAATCCAACCCTGGGACAAGATAGGTTTCCTAACCAAATTATAAAGTGAGTTTCTTGAAGTAAAACTTTTCACGAAATAAAGCTGAAAGCGATTAACATAAGTAGTCTGTATATGAATACCTTAACCTGATCGGGTCTCTGTTGTCTAGCCCTGCAACAAAAGAGATCACTGTCATATGCATTACTATTACAAAATGAAAACGGTGAAAATGATGAGAGAAATCTGCTGAGAACATATGAAGCAAATTCTACTGATTGACGTAAGTTGCTCCTTTGTGAGGATTGGTATAGCATTACCACAAGAAACGGAATTCCAAATACGAGAAAGAAAACGAAAATCTAACCTGTAAGGATTGAAATCTTTATCATCATCTTCAGCAGATTCATAATTTGCATGATCTTGAGCAAGTTTCTTGGAATACCCCTCATCCCAATACAACCTCTCCCAGTTTTCCCTAAGCTCATTATATAGCTCCATATATCTCTTACACCAAGGTTCATGCTCCTTCCATTAAGAAAAAAAGAAACGATTTCGCAGTGTCGAACAAATGAAATAACTACTATAAAACCTCATCATCAATCTCCAACACCCACCAATTCATATTAAAAACAAAGTAACATAAAACAAGAAATGGCTAAAATGGACACATATGAAAACTCAAATATAAGATGCAGGGTTGTTCTGAAATAGCCAAAATTAAGATGCCCCACACTATCATTAGCACAAAGTGGGGAAAGATTGGATAATGATAAAGAGAACTAACAGATTCCTTGATGACGAGACGAGTACGGCGCATGAACTGCTCCCTGAGCTGCTTACGGCGCTTGTTAGGAAGATTTTCTCTGGGGATCACAAATCGTTCACGCGGCGGCACGTTATCCCCTATCTCGTGCATTTCGCCGTCCACCACCCACCACTCGGACTTGTCCTCGGTCTTTCTCAGCATCGCAGACGGTGAGAACTTGGACCGCCGCCGGGCCCGTGGTGGAGTCGAGCCGGAACCGGAGTCGGTTCGCGCATACCGCAGCTGAGTCGCGATAAACTGGAGACATTTTTGGGGTCTTTGAATCACTTTAGTTAGAGGGTGCATCGAAAAGCGGCGGGATGGTGGCGGAGAGTAGTGGAACCACGGCAGGTGGGGGCTGAAGATCGACAGCGGAAGGGTTTGAAGGGGGTTTATGTTGTTTCATAGGTTCAGCTCAACCCGATGAGAGTATTTCTGTTTTCGGGCGAGTTTTATTATTTCTATATTTTTATTATTTATACAGAAAGTGAGATTTTAAATAAAATTAATTTTGTGAAGTTTGTATAATAAAATTAATTTTGTGAAGTTTGTATTTATAACTGTATATTATGTTTATATCAAGCACAAAATCTATTTTTATTAATGGTTAATTGCTAAATAAATCTATTTTTATTTATAACTTGTACTTTTTTACTAGTACGAATCCCGTGCAATGTACGGGTATGAAATATTCATTAATATTATAAATTACTAATGCTCACTAAACAATATTTATAAATTAGAAATATGGAATCAATATGTAATACGATTTACTTATATTAATTTGTTGAAAATGTTATATGGAATCTAAATTATGCAAAATTACATAAAACATGTCTATTAATACACGATTGGAACGATGCAAGTAACTGATAATAAGTTACATTATATTCATTTCAAAATGTTAAAAAGCTCATCTTCCTCAGATCCCCTTCTCGTCCCCTTCTCTCTCACCCTCTCTCTCGTCATCGCGAATTGTGCTCCCTCAGTCGTCGTCCGGGGTGCGTTGGTGGACGGCCTCCACCACTCATCCATGGCCGCTTCACCTTCGTCTTCGGTCTGAAGTCACTGGGTCTCGACTAGGGTTTCGGTGGACTCCCTTCCGCTCGATGGCCGCCGGTATTCAGTGGAATCGGAGCTGGGCGGGGTGCGGAGGTGCGTGGATGAGGCTTGAGTTGCTCGAGTCTGCTTTGTTCGGGGCGTCTCTTCGTGTCTGGCTTGGAGGTAAGCCGTCTGTATCTTTCCGTTTTCTGCGGGGGACGGGTCGTTGGCTCGTTTCTTGTGCAGCGGGGTTGTATCGAGTTTTTCCTTGTGGGTTGGATGATCGGATGTTGCCTCGTGCGGGCTGGGTCGAGTCGGCTGAACTGAGGCGCCATTCTTCCCCTTCTTCCCCTTTTTTGGTTTCCAAATTCGTGGGAGGGCTGCTGTTTTGGGTCGCGGGCTAGTGGTGATAGTCGGTCTCGTGACGGTGTCGGATTGGCTAGTGGTTTTAGCCGGTGGGGGGAGTTCATGGTTCTTTGTGGTCGGAGTGCGGGTTGATTTCTCGGTTTGTTTTTTCGCGGCTTGGATCTTCGCCTTGCTAGGCCTTATGCAGTGGTGGGCGTGGTATCGGAGCTTCGGAGCTCTCCTCGAAATCGATTTGTCTGTTGTCCCCTTCGGATGTTTCTGCTGAGGGAGGTTGTGTTGTTTAGTGTGTAGGTGTTTTCCGTTTTTTGTTCTTGCTTGGTCGTTTGTGTTGATGTTCAGTCGTTGTGTTTTAGGTTTGGGCCGTTGTCCCCAGTCAGTCCGATCCTTTTGGGACCACACACTCGGACATTACCCTGTTGGGGCCGTTTTTGGTGTTGTGTTTTTGTGTTGTGTGGTTTTTACCATGTTTGGGTCGTCTTTGTGTTGTGTGGTTATTGCTCTGGTAGGGTCCTCTCTAGGCAGGCTTCGTCCTGGCCTCTCTAGTTTATTCAGCTGGTGGCTGCGTTTGTAAGTTGGTAGTTGTATTGTTGCACATTTGTACCCTTATATAAAATCTCTATCGTTCCGAAAAAAAAATATTCATTTCAAAATAGATGCCATTTTAAAATTTTTATTTAGAAATTCGATTTGACTACAGTGTGATTTAAGTAAAAACAAACCTTTATATATACAACACGCGCACACACACATACACACACCAAATAATTTGATATGCTCCACGCACACTTACAAAGAAGAATGAAAAATAGTATTATCCAGATTTTCTTTATTTAATATTGAATAAAATGCTTAGCAATATGAAAAAAAAAAATTGAGATATCATTTATTACCATAAGCGGGTATATTGGATCAATATATAGTATACCAAATAACTCGATTCATACTTTATCTATAAAATTCAAAAAATGATATTCAGTTTAACCACAAAATTAATTTCCTAGCGTACAAAACAAAATCAAGACTTACATTTATTATATATAAAAATAAAAGAGACCTAAAAAATATTATTAGAAAATAATTAAATAGAAACTGCCATTAATACAATTTATTTTAGAATAATTTTATAAGAATTATAATTAAATAAAAAAATTGAATTTACACGATCTGCTTAATTAGGATATCATAAAAATGTAAATTTTTATTGCCTAATTATTACCTTAACTATCCACGATTTGAGCAATTAAATACAAAAAAAAAATGAACAATATTTATTAAATAATATTTAAATAAAAATTGTCCTTAACACATTTTTTTTAGAACAGTTTTATGCAAACTACATAATTAGTTATTCTTGTCGATATTTCCATAATTGTAGTAGTTATTTACATATTGAATAAATCAGTCGGATTTACAAAATTTGCGTAATTAATTTATATTAGAAATGTATTTCACAAAATAAATAAACGAAAAATATAAAACACTTATTAAATAATAAATTATACAATTTAGTTGAAATTTTTTTACCAAATCAAATTATTGATATTGCGGCCGAAATTCTCATATTTGGGTAAATCAACAAATTCACATTATTTGAGTAATTAAGGTATCTTAAAAATGAAGTTACCATAAGTGATTATTTAAAATATATCTTAAACTATTAATTAATTTGAGCAATTAAGGTATCTTTAAAATAAAATTTTATATGGTTTAATTATTACCTTAAATAATGAGCCACAATTTCTATAAATGTTTATTTAAAATATACTATAAATTGTTAAATTAATTTCCCGAAATAGTGAATAGATTTTTTTTTTGAGGGAAATAGTTACTATTTAAAAAAATAATCAAACCTTTATATATATATATATGGTCACGCTCAGGTGAGAATGGTGCTCTAGGAAAGAAATAAAAATAAATCTTAGCCGTTAGATCGAATGATCTAATAGCTAAAAAAATGCCAAATATTACACTCATTAAGGGTATTTTAGACATTACCAATACCATCCACTTATCCAACTCATTAGTGGGCCCATGACACATCATCACCACACCACAAAACACATGCCACGCACACAAAAAACATACGCACACACACACACAGAGCACACGCACACACACTTCAGCATACATATACACACACAATTTATATTCAACACACACACACACACACTACACAGTCTGTATATACACAACAAACACACTACACACACACATTACTAGCCCAACCGCCGCCTTGCCCAGCCATCGCCGCTGCACCACGCCACCGCCGGTCGCCAGAGCCCAATGTAACGCCACCGCCGAAGCACGCTGAAACACCACCGCCGGATCACCCTATTAGACACGCACGAACAGGACGGCCGCGGCACCACCATCACACATGTCGACCTCCATCATCCGCCGTCGAATCCAATCTCTCCGTCGCCGTTCTGCTCGATGCCGGCGACTGTCACTCCAAACGCCACCGTCTGGATCGGTGTCATAGCTTTAGTCATCGTCGTCCTCCCTCCGTCGGGAACTGACCGAGACGTCTCTGTCACTTCCTCCGCCATAGAGCTCCGCAAGGGTAGAGGGTGAAGACGCCACCGGCCGCCCCCGTCCCCATCGTGGTCATCATTCCTTGCCGTCTCGGTCACCGTTCGTCCGTCGTCCATTATCGGGGAAGAGGTCACGACAAGTAAAAGGGGACGAGGCGGCAGAGAGAACACGATTTGAGATTGAAAATTGGGTTTTTTTTTTAGAAATTGATATCTTATAGGGGCTTGATTGAAATTTTCATATATTTCAATAAATTACCATTTAGTTCATGGGTTGAATCTGTAGTTTTCAAAAATTTGTAAATCTAATATTGTAAATTTAATAAATTTATTTACATTTCAATTCAACATTTGTGTCAAATTTGTAATTTACAAAAAGTATATAAAAGTATACTATTTCTATATATTTTTTAAAACCATAAAATAATAAAAAGAAAATTAAATACAAATATGATAAAATATTAATATATCATTGAACATGTTGCACATTATTGACTGACGGGTTGCACGTTTGTGTTAGTGAAATTGCACTTTAGCATAATAAATGGACGATCATGTGAATTATATTAATAATATAAAATACAAAATACAAAAATTGTAAATACTAAATAAATTTTTACGATATAAAAAATTGATAAATGCAAAAATTAATGATAACTGAAATACACATTATTGAAGTTTATACATTTGAAACACATAGAAAAATACTCAGACGAAAAAATACCCGACCAGTTGATTGCACATTAATGATAGACAAATTGCACATTATTGTCTATTCGATTGCACTTTATAGATTTTTATATCTTTCATATTATATTTTCAACTATAAATATTGTTTGTCCCATTTTTGTTGCATTTTTAGGGGTTATTTTTGTCTTTCTTTTTTCCCCATGTTAGGTTTTTTCTTCGGTTTTTAGCTCGTTCTAGTCTTTATTGTGTGTTTCGTGCTATTTCAATTTTCTGTGTGTTTTTCGTATATTTTTCTGGTTTTTCTTTGTTTATGGTGTGTAGGTCGAAAGCCCTCGGGAGTACCGAATTTCAGTCAAAAGTTGGCCGGGCAAGTATAAGAAAATAGAAGAGTTCGTCGGCATCACATTGAAAAAATCGGAACTCGTTTCGGTGTCCAAACGAACCCGATACGTTTAAGTCGTGTGAGCTGCCAATTAATCTGCCAATACCCAGGTACCGCAGCTGCCGCGTCGCGTAAGCACCACGACATCAACAGAGGTCAGCTCTTCCAGCTCCGCGCCGCTGCACCTCGTCACGCCGCGCCAGATTGTCTCCCCGCGCCGCGAAGGCTTGTCGCGCCGCGACGCTGAACATTCTCTTCATGCCGCGCAACCGCCACGAGATGGGCAGAAGCTC